ATTGCCTTTAACAATCTGTCTTATAAGATTGTTGTGAGATAATTTTTATGAAAGTGCTTTGTCAATCATTGAGTATATAATATACAAATGTATAATGGTGTGTATAATATAATAAGGGACACTAATACTAGTAGGTAACAGATAATTCCTTCTCCGAGTATCCTTTAGCCATCTTATAGATGGAAATTTCACTTGGAGTCCTTCCTAAATACACCAAAACTAAAATGAAACATTTACTTCCATCTTGCTGGAATTCTAATCAATGAGAATTCGAGACAATGGGGAAAATAACAAAAAATGTTATGGAGTTTATTTTTTTAATAATCATTTGAATGGATTGTCTTAACAGATGAACCTGTAGGCATTGATGACCACATTTTTAAAATGGTATTAGAGTAAATACAGAATATTCAGTCTTTTAAAAATGTTAACCACTTGGGATGTCTGTTGACATTTTGCAAAGCAAACCATAAATGTACTTAAACAGATGAGTAAAACATGAAAATTAAAAATCAGCCCATCTTTTCTCCGAGTACCTTTTTCAAATGGCACAGAGAACGTTACACAAGCTCCAGGCACCTCTATATTTAATTCCTAGGGGCAATGGTATTCATCAGTGCATTAAGCAGCCTGGTCAGGTACTGCTGAGTCAACCTCGTTCTGGGACTCTCCTTGCTTGTGAATGCAGCACACAGGCCTTGAGATGTCATTATTCCGACATTATGATAAGGCATTCACTTATGCTGCTTTACAGGAGAAAGAACCAGAGTTTAAAAAGCCATAGCCACCAATTTACATTACGCTACTGTAACCCTCTTAAACAGAATCTCATTTTAAAACACAGTGCTTGCAAGAGAAAAAGCTTCACTGGCTTAATCCATGATTATGAAATTGGTGGTCATTTGGAAGATGTCTCTTCTTTTTTTTTTCTGTTTTTTCTTTTTCCATCAATAGTTTAATTTTCATTAGAAATCACAGTCTTGGTACTAAGTCAGCACCAATTTATGTATAGCACAAAGCACAAAGGTGACCTTCGCTTGCTTGGTTTTTTTTTGTTGTTTGTTTTTTTGTTTTGTTTTGTTTTGTTTTGTTTTGTTTTAAGACAGAGTCTCGCTCTGTTGCCCAGGCTGGAGTGCAGTGACACAATCTCGGCTCACCGCAAGCTCTACCTCCTGGGTTCAGGCCATTCTCCTGCCTCAGTCTCCCAAATAGCTGGGACTGCAGGTGCCTGCCACCATGCCCAGCTAATTTTTTGGTATTTTTAGTAGAGATGGAGTTTCACTGTGTCAGCCAGGATGGTCTCAATCTCCAGACCTTGGGATCTGCCCACCTTGGCTTCCCAAAGTGCTGGGATTACAGGCGTGAGCCACCGCACCCAGCTGGTGATCTTCTATTAATGGAAGAACTACTGTTAAGTCACTGGACTGATGAGCTTCACAGGGCCAACACTTCTTAGCTTGGACATGCTTACTAAACAAGTTATGAGTGCATGCTCTAAATTACCTTGTATGAATAAGGGCTGTAAACTACGTTATTTTGAGGAAATGGCCACTTTTCAAAATCTTCAAAGTGCACCGGCAAACATGAAGCTTGGGTGTGTTATAATTAATTGGGAAAACAGTGGATGCCTCAATCATTGCATTTGGCATGATTAATGAAAGAGCTCTATCACAGCAAAGTCTAGCGTTCATAAAGTGCTTCTTGCCGGGGGAATCTTAAATCATAAATAGCAACATGTTTAGTCCTCTGCCCTTTTATAAGAGATAAAATTGTGGTACAAATAGAGTAGGCTTTTTTCCCAAGGTGGCACAGAGCTCAACAAAGTCAAAATGTGGCATTTACATCCCTTGATTTATAACCTTTATAATGTTTACTTAAGAATGTATCCAAAGGAAATTCCTATTGTTTATTTTACTATTTGTTTAGTTGAATTATTAGTTAAAACTTTTTTCTAGTGTCATTTGCCAGAGGGTGATGCTGATTAGAAGAACTAAAACTAGGGATGACATGCAGTCTCACATTTAGCAACCGGATACAATTTTAAGTTCAAAACACAGCCTATTCCAGCAAGAGCACTAGGATTGGACAATAGCACCCCTTCAATCCCAATACTGCCAACAGTCTTTACAGTTGGGATTGTCCTTTCTTGACTCTGAACCACACCCAAAAGGTCGTCAATCTGTGAATGTTTATTTACACTTCTTCTTACCATCTTGCACATTATGGACTCTTACAGCTGCCTTCAAAAGAGAGCTTTCAGATAGCCATGAGGAACTAGAGATTTTTTAAATAAATAAATAAGGCTATAAATATAAACAAAGAGTTGATATTTGACGTTGGAATTCAAGGGATACATTAATAAGTGCTTGTGTATCCACAGGCTTCCTTACTTTGTGCCTGAACTCAGCACCCAATCTATGTACCCCAGCTATCAGCTTTTCAGGGTCCTGATGAGAAACAAACAAGAGGAAATTAAACACTTGAGTGTTGACAGTACAGACCAGAATCTGGAATTACTGTGAATCCTTACAAGTGTTCAGAGCTCCTTCACTGGGGATGTGAATTTGTCATCGTGTATCAAATGTATGGGGACGCTGCCTGCCAGTAAAGATCCACTCAGACCTCAGAAAGAAAAGGTTAATCTTTCAAGGAGAATTTAGGAAATATTTAGAAACAAGGAATAATTCCACACTAGGAAATCCATAGGTGCTCAAAGAATAAGAAATTTAAATCCTCCACTACATACATGTAAGTTCACACATGCTGATCATCAACCGGCATCTTTAGTGAGTCTCTTCTATTGAACTCACTACAGTAAGTAAGCTGAAACGCAACTTCTGAAAGACTGTCAACATGTGTGTTTTTTTATATAGTTGGCTGGGTAGGTTTTTACCTAGCTCTACACAGTAACACCAAATTATAGATTAGCTTCTCAGGGGAAATAACTGTACACACTAATTACATGTAATACAATAGCCATTCACAGAAGATCCCCAGTATACATGACAACTATGAACCCAGTCCCTGGAATCAAGAAACTGTACATCAGAAACAACTCAAATGGCCTTCAACAACCGTTAAAAGGATAAACCATCTGTGGTACATTCATGCAATGAAATAATACTCAGCAATCAAAAAGAGCCAACTGTTGATACACTCAACAACACAGATGAAGATCAAATTCATTATGCTAGTAAAAAGAAGCCAGACAGAAGAAAGCTACATGCTGTATGATTCTATTTATATGACATTCTGTAAAAGACAAAACTACAGGAATGGAAAAGAGATCAGTGGTTTCCAGGGTTACAGGATATAGGGAGGGATTGACTACAAAGGGCAGCACAAAGAAGTTTTGGGGGATGATGGAATTCTATTTCTTGCTTGTGGTCGTGATTACATTACACATTGGTAAAACTCAAAGAATTTATATCCCTGAAAAAGTGAATTTTACTGTAGTTAAACTAAATATCAAAAGTGTAAACACTTCACATAGTTTATTTCTCATTCTCATGTATTCAAGAATTGTCTTTCAAATATTTCCACTAAACTCCTGCTTATCACTTTCAAGAATTTAGCTTCAATGTCAACTCTTCTATAAAGCCTCCCCATAACTCTCTATGTTCCCGCTTCTTTCTAAGATTTTTTTTTTTTTTAAAGAAAATAAACATTACTCATACAGCCAATATCCTTCTCTTTCAGGGGTCTCCTCCATGCTGGGTTGGCACGCATTCTTCCCCAATATGCTTTTATATTTTTATTACATAGTTATGTACCAACAAATTTTGTTACGGGGAGGATAATTTTATGTTAATAGATATTAATATTACATCAATTAAATATATACATCATGTATACATTGATGTATACAAAAATATACATCAATTAATCATTAATGTTAATATTACATGTCACATTTTTTTGAGACGGAGTCTTGCTCTGTAGCCCAGGCTAGAATGCAGCGATCTCGGCTCACTGTAACCTCTGCCTCCAGGGTTCAAGCGGTTCTCCTGCCTCAGCCTCCCGAGTACCTGGGATTATAGGCCTCCGCCACCGCACCTGGCTAATTTGTGTATTTTTAGTACAGACGGGGTTTTACCGTCTTGGCCAAGCTGGTCTCAAATTCCTGACTTCGTGATCCACCCTCCTCGATGTCCTAAAGTGTTGGGATGACAGGCGTGAGCCACCACGCCCGGCCAATATCACATGCGTTTTTTGCAATTTGCTTTTTTTCATACAACATTGCTTTTAAGACAGTCCATTCTTAAAGAGTATTTCACTGTAGGAATATGCCAATATATTAATTCACTGCACTTTTGACAGATATTTAAGCTGTTTCCATGCTCCAAGTTACACTGTGCCACATTTATCTGTTATTATATCTCTTCTTCTTCTTGCGACACGATGAGCAATTCCAGAACAAAAAGCATCCAGAATTCCTATCCCTTTCCCTAATTTCCGGTACACCTGCAAATCACTGCCTGCGAAATGTGTTTCGCATGGAAAAAGATGCTGTGTACCTGGCACACAATAAGCACCACTCCATAAAAATGTGTTGAAAGAATAAAAGCTGACAAAATGTTATTTTAAATCTTGGGCTCTCTACTCACTTCTCCACGGTGTAAGATTTAAGGGGGAACTGACTCAATTCTCACTGAAAAGTCCTTTAGTATTCCAGTGTGGACGTAAAGAAATCTATGAAACAAGGTCACTTCACAATTCTCTTGCTTTCGCGTTAGAGGATCTCAAAGCACTACACAAACCGCGATTTTCTCCAGTGATTTTTCCTCTCAATGTGCCTCAAGGTCAGTTCAGAGCAGTATTTAAAGCTTGAATACTCTTCACCAGCAGCTGTAAAGGGCCGGGAAACCAGAGTCTGGATGTAAATAACAGTAACAAACTATTCCCGGGTCTTGTTTTTTCTCGAGGAATTTTTTTCTTTTCTTTTCATGGGTCCCCGTTTGCGCTCTTAGTCGGCTTACCAGTCCTAGTCCAGGAGCCGACAGGGAACAGCCCACCTGCAGCAGGTCTTGGGCCACCACTCGCCCCGCCCCCATCTCCACTCCTCACTCGCTCTCCCCGCTCCTATTAAGCAGATCTAACGCTGGCTGATCTCCTCTCCAGTTCTTCGTGGTTTCGTTGTAGCCTTGATATACAAGACAAATGCACACTGTACTCTGGGCTTACAAAACCATCTATCATCATCCTTTGGACGTGACCAATACACTGTGTGTTTCAGAGAAATTAATCTGGTGTTTAGGGGGAGAAAGGCATTTCCAACTCAGTCTCCGTGCAGAACCTTCCCGCAAACCCTGTAGCGGCATTTTTCGACACTTTTCTCCTCCGTTCGGCAAGCCTCAAACTTGACCTTCGAGAGGATTTTAAGGGTAGAGCCTTCCTCCCTTTCCCTCGTCTGCTCCAAGAGCGCACGTAGGCCTTCTTCTGAGAAACAGCTGCTCGGGACCAGAGCTCGGAGAACTGCACGTCCAGGAGCGCGGGCGCGGCAGGGGAAACGGGAGGAGGCGGTGGCGGTGCGGGGAAGGGAGGAGGAGGCGGCAGGAGGGGGCAGGAGGTGGAGGGAGGAGGAGGATCGGTCTGCATATGCATGAGGCACCCAGCACTGCCCTCTTCCCCGGCAGCTGCTCGGGCGGGGGCGAAGGAGGGAAGGGGAGGGGAGCGGAGGAAATGAGGCTGGGGCGGGGCCGCCAGAGCAGCCGCTGCGGCTGACGCGGGTTTAGAGAACGGAAGAGGTGATTTGCATGGCGCCTGGTGATTGGCTGATGGCCGGGGGCTGGGTCTGAGAGACGACTCCTGAATGGTTTAACGGAAGAAATTACAAGATTCATTCGACTAAAGAAAGCCGGGGCGGGCCTGGTCGGCGCGATATGCAGCCTGTCCGCAAGGGGGCGCGATGGCCTATCTTTGTTCTGGTTAAAGGTTCCTTTTCCCTCCTCCCTCGCCCCCGCCCC